TAAAAAATGATGCATTCTAAACAATACATATATAATAACAATCTCAACAAAACAATCACAACTTTCAAACGACCCCTTAATTGAAATGGAAAAAATCTATCAAATATAATGTCATCTTCTAAAATAAATCAAAACTCAACAGTGCCATGAATACCCACTAAGCAAAGCAGAAGGGCAATTATTCACACTATCTCATTTTTTCCCTCGTTTAAATATGTTCTCTCACTCTCTCTTATGCCTCGTTCGCTTGCCATTTTGTTTTCTGTTTTCTGGTGTGACAACAAAAATAAATAAAAAAATCGTAAGAAATGTGTTCACTTGCAATTACATTATCGTTGGAAAAAATCATGGGGAATAAAAGAGGCAGTTGGGCGGTAACAATAAAACATCATTTGCTGGAAAATGAGAGACGAATTTCCCCCCGTTTCCCATTGGACTATGCCCTCATTCCTTTTAATGAGCCCAGCGTTTGAATCCCTCGACCACATTTTTTTCTCCTTTTGTTCACTTAACCAACGACGTCGTTTTGCTAACCCGAGCTCCCATCGTTCTTCTCCCTGCCTCCCCCAAACTCGACCTCCCCATCGAACGAAGCTGCTACAGTCCACCTCTTCTTCCTCTAGCTGAGGGAGAGAAGATCGATCCGGCGAACTCCTTCTCTAGTCGGCGAAGCTCCATCGACGAAGGACGGGTTTGCTTTGAGATGCCAGTAGGTAATTACCCTTCCACCTCTAAGTTAATCATTCTCAAGGGCTTAGATCCTCGAGGTCATATCAACAGAGGTGTGGATTAGGCTGGATGAGACAGTGATGGCTACACTTGCCCAGTGGGTCCTCGATAATCCTTATTGTTTTTCCATTTGTTCTTCCATCTCTCTCTCCAAGCTTTGTATCTCACCACTCTCCCCCTTTCCTTCCTCTTTCTTCCCACCGCCTGGAATTGAGGGAAACCTAGAAACATCCCAATTACTTATCCAATTTGGCGTTCGAAAGGCTTCTTCTCCATTCACAATCGATAGTGTGAATCAGAGGACCTGAAATCTGGCGAACAAATGGTCGCTTATTTCTCTCAAATGGGGCATTTCTCCATAAAACATGAGTGCACCAATATAGACTATGTGGTGCTCGCACTTGTGCGCGAGCGCTTGAAGTTTAAGTCAGGTACGACCCATGAAGCATTCATACTTGTATAGGGCCGATCCATATACATTGTCTTCATGGTATGCTCTAACTGTGTCATGCTAGCTTGATCATGTGCATGCGTATAGTTAAATGCATTCTAATAATTAAGTTTTTACCTATTCGCAACACCAAGATAAAAAAACAATCATAAATGCACCCAATATTTGATTTTGACTACATGATAAAATACTACATTTGAACCAACGACCACTGATGCCACAAATAATAAGTATATCTCTAAATCATACATAAAATATTTCAAACAACACAAATATAAAGATTAAATTAATAATTATAAAGAGTAAAAATTGTATAATGAGGTTAATTATAACTCATTTATATGTTAATGCCCTTAAATTGATCAACACACCCAAAAATGACAAAATGAACATCACTTTAAACCTAATATCGTCTCATTATTGTCGGATCCATTCATGCCAGATTAGCAAGAGGTTTAATGTTTAGCAATTAACCAGGCTAAAATTTTAGAGAACCCGTCACCTATAGTTTGTACAAAATATTATTGCTTCGTAATAGTTGTGAAAATTTATATTAATTAAAGAATTCTACATCTCTGTTGCATATTCAATAATGCAATTTGATATGCAATATTTTAAGCATTGAAATTTGTGTTGCAATTTTAAGATTACCAGTCATTTTATAAGTTAGAAAAAATTACAAATCAAGTATTAAATTTTGCTGTTTAGAATATTTAATAGGCTAGCTAACCGTGATGGAAAGTTCCTATGCTTTTCAAATATTCGCTAAGTGTCTGCTTACAATTCAAGGAGATAAAATAAATTTGTTTAGTGTAATTGGTTGTGATTGTTGTTTTTTTAAGAGACCATGGTTCAAATCTAGATGTTGATACTTTTTTTATAGGAAGTAGATAAATAATTGCGATGAAAAAAAATACTCTTCCTACTTTCACTCTCATTTCACGAAATTGGAAATGAAAAATCTTAAAACATTGAATATATCTTATAGAAAGAGCTTCTTCAACCAGGTAAGAAGGGCATTTTACCTAAAATTATTATATCTTATAGAAGTGATTAATTGTGAAATCGGAACTCAAGTACATTTGATTCAAACATTAAATATTAAATTGTATGTGTGGTACAGTTTAGATAAAATACATGTGTGTAGCCAAAACATGGGTCTTCGTGACATATATAGTAACTTTTTGTGACAAATCTACACGTAATATAAAGATAATTTGACACTATGACGAAAAAAGAGGTTCGTAGAATCACTTTCAGGCCACGAAATTTAAAAGAAGACTCTCATTTTCCAATTTTATCATTATATAATGTATAGATTTGTCACCAAAAAAATGACTATACTCGTTACAAATGTCCATGTTTTGGTTACACTTTTGTATTTTTGTCTAAACTAAACTAAACTACACATACAATTTAGGACTTTGCTACGGTGACATGCATGTCACGGTGACATGCACTTTTCGGTCGACCTCATATAGGATTAGGTCGACCTAATCTGTTGTTTCAGTGTAAAAACAGTTTCATGGTGCCTACTTTGTAGTTTCATATCTTACAATTGGCTAGATGGAAATTGGAGATTAAAGGCCTGTTTTGAAGCTGAAGTGTCCCTCTACACATTAAAGTACTTGGGAGCTCAATAGAAAGTTCAGAAGTCCAAATAGGCTTCACAAACACGTTTCCAGACTTAGCCATTTCCTGGCAGTTTCCCAGTTTTGGCGTAGCCTTTTGATGAGGTTCAAAAATGGTCTTCTGGACTTCCTATCGAGCTCTCACTCACTTCAATATGTAGAGGGACACTCCAGCTTCAAAACAAGTCATTAGTCTTCAATTTCCATCTAGCCAATTGTATGATATGAATATGGCCAAATTCACTTGCATAGCCAAAACTTTGACGATTGTGACAAATATAGCCAATTTTGGAGAAATACCATAAATAGCCAGATTTTTGAAAGTTTGATGACAAATATAGCCATTTCCGTTACATAATTTGACGGCGTCAATGACACCGTTAGTCTATTTAACGGACAGTTGATGTGGCTGCCACCTCACCATGTCTTTCCTTCCCACCTCAGCATCCATTGACAGGTGGGATGCCACGTCACATTAAAAATTTAATTTTTTAACAAATTATTTTTTAAAATTTTTTATTTTCTTTCCACTCACTTCATCTTCACCAACAAAACCTTCACCAATAAAAATTTAATTTTTTATTTTCTTTCCTTCCCACTTCATCTACCTTATCCTTCTTTCCAGCTCCGCAAGAATCGATCTCAATCTTCTCCCTGAAACCCTCCACCTTCTTCCTTTTCTCTTCTTTCCACAAGATGTACATCCAATCTTCTCATCGAAACTCCTCCGCCATCACTCTAGATCGACGACAACACTCATCGACGAACACACCCATCCAGCCGATCCACCCCTCCGTCGAATCACCCCTCAATCCAGTCCGGCTCGTCTCCCCGATTCACTCCTCCATCTCCGTTCCGGCTTCGACAAAGGCAATCATGCATCATCTTGATGGCGGCAAAGACAACCGCTCATCCTCTTCTCGCTCTGGCACGGCATGGCGGCTTCTGACGATGCTGGTCTGTGGGAGAGTTAGGGATTTATGGATTTTGGGATTTGGGTCGCTTGATCTGCCATCTGGGTCGCACCACTAAGAACGACGACATCTTTGGGGCTTCTTGGCTTTATCATTGTATCCTCTGTCTCAGACTCACAGATCGAGGAAGGAAGGCCGATCTGGAGAGTTAGGGATTTATGGGTTTTTGGATATTTGATTGTGTGATTTGGGGGGTTTGATTTGAAAATGGTAGGAAGAGATGGCGACGATTTTGTTTCTGAATTTTTTGGGTTTATGTTTTATGGGCAGAAAAGAGGCCGTCAAAATTTGAGGCAAAAACTACTTTTCACGGCAGCTGCCGATAGTGGGGGACTGGGGAGGTCGTCTGGAGAGAAGGAGAGAACGAAGAGTGATGAGGGGACTAGGGTTGAGCACTTAATTGTTTGTTGTTTGGGTTATGGAAGGCTTCAATCCTAGTGATTGCAGAAGAGGAAGCTTATTGCAGAAGAGGAAGCTTCTGGTAGGAAGTATTGTTGAAGATGAACAGGCGGTGGTGGTGGGGAGAAAGACATTTATTTTTTTTATTGTTTTTATGGTTTTTTAATTTAATTTGATAAAAAATATAAGTTAAAATTTTAATTATTTTCCACCTAACATTATATTTTAATAAAATATGCCACGCCAACCACTGCTGTTAGTCCAGTCAGCACGTTAACTAACACCGTCAAACAATTGGACGGAAATGGCTATTTTTGGTATTTCGCCAAAAGTGGCTATATTTGGCAAAACCGTCAAAGTTTTGGCCATACAAGTGTATTTGGCCTATGAATATCCAAAGTAGGCCATGAACTGTTTTTACACTGAAACAACAGATTAGGTCGACCTGATCCTATATGAGGTCGACCGAATCCTAAATGAGGTCGACCAGATCCTATATGATGTCGACCGAATTCTAAATGAGGTCGACCTAATCCTAACTGAGGTCGACCGGAAAGTGCAAGTCACCGTGAAATGCATGTCACCGTAGGCATACCCTACAATTTAATATTAATGTTTGAATCAATACTACTTTGAGTTCCGATTTCAGAACCAATCTCATTCTCTTAAATATAAATAACTTAAAAATAAAATATAAATATAGAAACATCATCACCAAACATATCCCTAGAGTTTAATCAAAGAAATAACAATGAATAAAATATAGCCTTATTGATTATAATGCTCTTTCTCAATTTAATTACCCAGGTTCAGTGACGATTTGGGTGGTTCGCTTCTGTTTGCTACGATCTACTGTCTATGTTGGTTCGAAATTGATTCGGTTCCATCTGCCACGATTAAGGAAAGATCACTTTTGTTTGCAATGAACCACTCAGCCGGGCCTATTTCTGCATAAATTCTGGACTTGGTGAAGTACTTCCTTTCGGCGACGAACTCGGTGCGAGGTCGCAATCGATCTCAACCCTTTGGGAGCCTTTTCGCCAGTTGGGCAGCGTCATCTCAGGCATCAATTCGAGGTTGTAGCATTGTTCTCCGGCGCTGCTGCGTTCGAAGAGTGGTGGAGGAAGACTAAAACCTTTGATTGGACAGGAGAGGAATTGCCAAGAGGCCAGGAAAATGATCAGGTGAAAATGGCGGCAGCGATGGGGTACCAGTGTGTAGAGTGTGGATTCGCCATCAGAACACTTTACGTTCAGTACTCTCCAGGGAACATCCGCCTCATGAAATGCGTAAGCTTCTAGTGGAACTCGTTTGGCTTCACTGTTGCGATTTTGAACTGTTCTCTGTGCTTAATTCTTTCAATTATTTTTTTTCTTTCTCTGGGGTGCGGGGATGTGCTCCCTCTTCTGGGTTGATTTTCCACAGGAGAATTGCAAATCCGTAGCGGATGAATACATCGAATGTGAATTCATGGTACGTTTTGTTTGATGATTTCTGCTTGAGAATTTGCATTTGTTCAATCCTTTTATGAATCTGGTGTGTTCCTCTGTGGAATTTGGTTAGATTATCTTGATCGATTTGATTCTGCATAAGCCCAAAGCTTATCGTCATCTACTCTTCAACGTTCTCAATCAGAAGAGTGCAGTTATTGAGGTACAATGGCAGCTTACTTTCGGTTATGGTTGTCTCTTTTCCAATGATTGCTAATGGTTGGTGATGGAGAGCTGCTGAAAATTTTCAGGGTCTGTTGAGGAATGCGATTTTTGGTTTCATTCTTCTGGATGGTTGTATCCACTTTAGTGGTCATCATGTGTCTTGCTTTAATCAAGTTGAAATGCCCTTAACTTACTGAATGTTATTTGTTGAGGTCCTTAGCAAATCCAGATAGATGTATGCTTTTGAATTGGCAAGAGGGTGAAAGAAGAGGTTCTTCATCGAGCATAATTTCTTTGTTTTGGAGATACCGAAAGGTTTGTATTTTGAATGTTTGAAGGAAGCTAAGTTCTGATTGGGAGCCTATGCATAACTCCTGTGATTCCTTGCTTCATGCAGGTGTTCATGGCTTGTCTTGTTGGTAATTCACTTTTTCTCTGTGTTTTCCTTCTCGCCACAAGGATTCTGCTGAACTCTTCGCTTACATTTTCCAGGTAAATGTTTCCCCTGCCCTACCCTAATTTGTCCCCCCTATACATTTACAAGTTTTTTCATTAAACCCAGTGACTGTGTGATGACTAAGGTAGAGTGCGATTAAAGTTAGTGGTAACTGAATAGGACAATTTTCAAATTTCTTTTTTCATTCAACTACAAATTTCTAATTGAACAATATGGATTCATGAGCCCGGATGGTTAGGAAGTATTTGTGGGAAATGGTGGCAAAGTTCTGACTATTTTAGTTCTGGTTAACTAAGTTTACTTGCGTAATTGGCGAAAGATGATTCATAGAGATTGATGTGTGCTTCTATGTAGCAAATATATGCTAGCCCAGATCTATACTTGTGCATCCTTTCCTTGTGTACTCTTGTTGGCTAACAAAAGTAGCTAAGATCTTTTCTTTGTTCCTTCCGAAATTGGCAGATTCAGAGACCTTTTGCTTGTGATTCTGGTGTCAAGTTACTTTAAGATTTTTCTCATCGCCATGATGGTATGTATTGCTTGCTGGAGAGCACATTAAATTGTTCTTACTATTTGGCTCATCCTGCTTACTGTTATCTTCCTTACCATTAATTGGACGACCCTGAGTAAATCTGGCCATATGACATACAGGTCTGGGAATTTCCTCTGTCAGTGATTTTGATCATTGATCTTTTTGTTGTTTCGTCTAACACGGTGGCACTTAAAGGTCAGATACAATATTGCGTGTAGTTCTTGTATACTTTATTGCTGTGATATGTGTTTTAATGCAGCAACTTTGTTTCCTTTGCCTTGATACATAAAGAACTTTTGAACATATACTTGTGTGATGTGTCAGAACTATGCCTTGGTAGTTGGTAGTGCCATAAGCGTCACCTTTATGTTGATTTAAACACATCATAGAGCAAATCCTAATGGCTTTACGGTCTATGCTCCTCTAATTTGGTTGTGCTTGTTTAGGGAACAGATTTTCATACAATCTGGTTCTAGCATAGATTACACAATGCTTCCTTTCTAGTAGCAGTGAGCTTGATTAATTTAAGCTATTGCTTGACGAAAAAACATAATGGTGTATCTATTGCTGCTTACGCCTCATCAATTGATATTTCCTTGACAAAGCAGTCACCACCGGGTCAAGCACGGCTAGATGTTTGGGGGTTTGTTTCTCGGCCCACTGTGTTAAGCTAATTGCCACTCACGCCCTCGAGCTGCCCCAGATAATGTGGAAGAACAACTTCAGTGGATAAATATCTTCAATGTACTGCAGTTTCTGGGATGAAATCCTTCCATAACTAGTTCATTCAACATTCACACCTCTGCTTTGCTATTTTGTTTTGTTAGTAGTAATATGAGGCAGTTCTGCATTGGTCGATTTGGTATTAGCAGTTATTTTTTGAGTCCAATTGGTATGACAACTTGCACAAAGAGTGCTTTGTTTCTATGGCACAATCCCACCTTTCTTCATTAATTTCGTCTCTTGGAGTTTCTGCGGATAATCGGTCCAATTTTGCACGGTATAGGTGACTTTCTGTGAAGTGTGATCCCCGATTGATAGTGCTCTTGACTTGCATATCATAACGGTTACAATTGGTAATGATCGTTGATTTCATGATCTGAGTTCTTACACACCATAGAATTCAATCATAAAATCGTTCTTTGTATAAGGTAACCTCATTGATACAAACTTACACATAATCATGTATGTCTCCAAAAAGTACTAACAAGATCCCTTTGCCATTTCACCAACCATATGTTCATATCTATTGAGTTTTCATTAGATGTAACACGAGACCATACATGCTAATGTGGCACACTTACCCTTGCCAATTGCCATAATATCTCTACGAACTACGAAGACAATAAGCATTAATGAAAATGAAAGAAGAGGAGAAGAAGGGAAGAAAGCAAGGGGGCATTGAATAAGAGGACCCAATATTGAGAGTGACACAATAATGGCAGAGGAGTCCTCTCTTGCTTTTGGCTCTCTTCTCCATTCTCAATGCTGCAATGCAAACCAAACATGGAGAGTAGTTATTACACAAGACAAGTTAATTAGGGTTTGCTCTTTTGACAGAATCTTGCCTTTCTGTGTATGATTTCTTGCAAGGAAATTAATCCTTCTTTTTCTTTCAAAGGTATTATGTCAAAGGTCAAGAGAGCAGAACAATCAATGAGTTATCAGAAAGAAGTAAAAAGGGAAGGGGCAAAAAAGAAAGGGTTCCTTTGTAGCTAGGGTTTCTGTTTATGCTACTTTCTTCACTCACTTCACTTAGTGGTATGTGTAAGAAAACAAAAATTCAAGTCGAGAGAGAGAGAGAGAGAGGGAGAGGACGAGACAAAGAAAGAGGGGGTAAGACCGTAAGATGGAGATGGTTTTGGGTTGGTGGGCACACACAGCAAAATTTTGCTTGAATGGGGAAGAGATTTTACAGTGTCAAAAGAAAAAAGGGTCAGTTAGTCCAAACCAAGGTTATCAATTCGCGGGCTGATCCGGACCTGGTCGAGCTAGTAGGTCAAGGGTTAATGAGTCACTCGTTTTAACCCGGTTTAGCCCGAAAATATGAAAAGAGTCATTATATTGTACTTATCCTGATAAATTATATCAAACCTCATATAACATATGAGTTATAACATATAATATTCCATCAAAATAACATGTCGTAGTTAGATCCAACATATAGTGAAAATTCACACACACTTATATAACATCTATATTCAAATGTTCAACTTATGATTCCAATTGAGTTAGGCGAAAAGAAACATCGAAAAATAGGTGCATTCCACAAACCAAAGAAAAAAACGACACAATTTGACCTCCAATCAGCTATCTTGTTGCAGTCGACCCGACGAGTGCGTGCGACCCGATTTTCTCACCGAGTCAAGGTCAAAGTGGGTCGACCCGCGGATCAACACGTGGGTTGACAACCTTGGTCCACACACAAGCACAAAACTCACTTCCACACACTAGCTGCTGGTATCATGACGAAAGCTTTTAAATGCTCTTATTAAATACACTTGTCTTGTCTGTGCCCCAAAACCCTCTCTCCCTCTCAATTTTATTGTCCAGTTTTGAACTACATTGCTAATTAGCACTTAGCAGGGTTTTTTTCTCTTTTGGGCAGTCCATTAGCAGGGTTTTTTTCTCTTTTGGGCAGTCCATCTCTGCACAGAAGTCGGGTCATCGGAGCTATCTAGTCGAGTGTGTCGATTGAAGGAGTCGTGTCCGCCGTTAAAGTGGAATTATTCTAAAATTCATTGCTTGATTTGGCATGCATTGCTCTCAAAATGCATAGACTTTTGAGGATGTGTTTGAAATACTTCACCCTAGTTGGAACATAACTCTCAGACTTATAAATATTCTAAAATAAAACGCTTTATCTTATAAACCCTGTAAACTTACATTGGAATTATAGTATTATACCAAAAAAAACATTAAAAACATTGAAAAGTAATAGCCGAAATAACTAGTATTGGGTAAATCAATTGAACCGCTAAACATCACCATAAATTAGAACATAAAATTACTAAAGTAACCTTAATTAACTAACAAAGCGCTAAAATACTTCATCTTTTTTCCGATCTTCTTACGGCGTGGCCCTAACCTCACCTGCACTCCAAAAACCACCCGTTACTGCTCCGAATACCCATCCTCCATCCCGGCACCGTCGGATTTGTTTGTCAGTGGAGAATTAGCAATCCCCATAAAGGGGTTAAAGACACATTTGGTCACTGAGATTACAAAATCGGGACATGTTTAGTCACTAAAAAAATTTAATATCAAATTTGGTCACTACAATTACTAAAACTGGACGCATTTAGTCACTCGCCGTTAGTCTCCGTCCAACTCCGTTAATGAAGTCCGTTAAGTGCTGATGTGGCAAACAGAATTGCCTAATCAGCCGGATATTAACCCAACAAAAATAAAACCCGACCCGCCACGTCATTATAACCCGCCACCTCATTAAAACCAACCCAACCCAACCCAACCCATCACCCAACCCTACCCAACCCTTCTTCCTCCTTCCTCCCCAACCCAATTTAGGAGCGAGTATCCATTACCCGAAACCTAATTGCATAAAGAATCTTCCCCAAGCAGCTGAAAATATAGAAATCCATTGTTGATGACTCGAGCATTATAGGTAACACCAAGAAACCCAAATTCCCAGTTTCTCCAGAGAGCAAGGTGGGTAACCTAACTACCCGCCAAAAGGCAACTACCGGCTACAGCAACATAAAAAAACCATGGATTCGCAACAAAGCTAACCCGCCACAGATCCCAGAAGCAAAAGAAGAAACCCTAATAAGAAATCTAACTAAACCCCTTCGGACAGCAAGAACGACCGCATTTCATTAGCACGAATTAGAAACTCCGAAAGAACGCATTTCCGCAGGGGGGGAAGGAATTCCATAAGGGGAATGAAGATTGGCGAGAAGCACTGGTAGTAGCAGGTTGGAGTCGAGCGGTGGGGAAAGATCGAAGAACAAACCTTCTTGCAAGTGAGGGGAGAAGCGAGGAAGTACACGCAATCGGTGTTTCGCTTCTGCAATTCCTCCTCCATACTTCCTAGCTGGTTTTTCTTCCCTTTCAATTTCAAAGGACGGGGGGAAAAGGGACGGAGCAGCGGCGGCGGCGAGAGAGTTCTGCAGCGTCGCCCCTTTTCTCCTGCCTTTCGCCGCTGGAGCTCTCTTCTAGTGTAGAGCGCAGCGACAGATAGAGAGAGAGAATCGCTACTGCTGCTGGCCCTGGACTTGGTGGGTGATGTTGATTTAGTAGAGTTGGAGGATTTGGTGGTAATAAGTTTGGTCTGGTTCTTCTTACCACTCGAAGAAGAAGACAGAGTATCTCCGATAGCAGCAGAGTTGGTAGTAGTCTTCTTGGTGAGTTTCATGGTCTGATTCTTGTTAGCAGAGGGAATGGTAGATTTAGAAAGCTTGGTGCTTGGTGTTGCTTGTGATGATGATAGGCTGCTGCTGCTGCTCTTTTTCTTGGGCAGTTGTGGTTGCTCATCGTCGTCATCGCTGTCTAAGGCAGAGGCAGAGAGGAAGAGGGGGGAGGTGAACAAGAAGAAGAAGGAGGAGAGCAAGAGTAGCTTCCTGAATCTTCACCACCGAGCTCCGAGCCGGCACCGCCACATTCCTCAAGAAGATGAAGGAAGGGCGGCCGGCAGATTAATGGGGAAAACCCTAAATTGGGTTGGGGAGGAAGGAGGAAGAAGGGTTGGATAGGGTTGGGTGATGGGTTGGGTTGGGTTGGGTTGGTTTTAATGAGGTGGCGGGTTATAATGACGTGGCGGGTCGGGTTTTATTTTTGTTGGGTTAATATCCGGCTGATTAGGCAATTCTGTTTGCCACATCAGCACTTAACGGACTTCATTAACGGAGTTGGACGGAGACTAACGGCGAGTGACTAAATGCGTCCAGTTTTAGTAATTGTAGTGACCAAATTTGATATTAAATTTTTCTAGTGACTAAACATGTCCCGATTTTGTAATCTCAGTGACCAAATGTGTCTTTAACCCCCCCATAAAGCATGTCTTCAAACCTAGTGTTGGAAGAAGCTAAATTGATAGTTACCGTTGCTAGACTCGAAAGTTCATCGTCCTCACTCCTAAAGATTGGCTTGAATGGCAATACTCAACACATTGAACTCTACAGTTTGCATGCATGTGATGGTTAACACAAAAGTTTGAGTTTAGTGTGTGATCAATGTTAACTCACTGAAAACTAAACCTTCAAGATCACTAAATAGAAACTCTCAATACTAATTGTTGGGCATAGGACTCGGGCCTAATCACGCCAAGGAACCGGGCGCAACTGAATAAGACCCCAACACGGCGGTGCAAAGACCCCGAGTGTGCCGCCTCATCATGGCTAACCACGTCCCGGCGCGAAGAGATGACATGCGCTAGGGGAGGACAAGCGTAGGCCAAACCAGAAGATGAGGGAAGCGCACCTCTTCCAAGCGAGTAGTCACATCAGGGCTATGAGTGGATCTCTGACGCATCCTAGGTAGAGGAATGGCCTAAAAACCTTAGTGTGCTAGTGGTCACATCATTGTATCCCAGTAGTCACATCACTGTATCTCTCCCTATGTCAACCACTCACCCACCACCATGAAGCCTATAAATATGGCATTTACTACGGTGGGTGAGGGGATCGCATTTTTCACCATTCTCTCTCTATAACTATTACTTCTCTTTCTAAAAGTTCGGACTCCGGTCCTCGCTCAACTCTCTAATTCCTATCTCCCTGATCAAACTTGACGCTTGTGTTTCTTCTTGACCCAAACTCTCATTCGAACCTCACTCCTACACTCAGTTAGGTTCAAACAATTGGCGCCCACCGTGGGGCCAAGAAGAAACGCTAAAGAAAATCCCCCGATGGCAGAGCACAACCACGACCAACCTGACCAAGCAACACCAATCAAGGCAATGACTGACCCGAGGACGTTCGCGGAAGCCAGCAACCTCAACGCCGTGCTCATTGAAGAAGAAGAGCCCGAGCTGACGGCAAAAGAAATGAGGGATCTAGTGAGAAAGCAAAACAACGTCATAGCCGACATGCAGAAACAAATGAGCCA